AGCTAAACGGCTGCAGTACAACGATTTTCATCCGTCCTCATCTGGTGAGATCGACAAAAGAATCTCTTCAATTTCATTCGAAATGAAGGTCTTCCTATCAACCAAACTTGTTTATGGACTTACTCAGTCTCGGTCGAGGCTTTCTCTTGGGTCATTAGGTCTTGAGGATCAGAACCTGAGATTAAACCTTTGACAACTGTGATTTAGGACCGGTACTGCATATACACGCTAACACACATACACATACGCATACACTCGAGCAAAACTAACAGGGCTAGTATGAATGATAATTAACCAAACCACTCTATATCGATATTTCTAGGTTTTCAATTTTCTTTTGGCTTAATTGAGTCTCTATAAGAACTAAGCTAGAGCCGGATACTTTCTTGGCTTAGTGTTAACGTGATACTCTTACAATAATGACACCCAGCTCTGATGATGTCCATCATATGATGGACGAAAGCTCATCACGTTTTCACCTGAAACGAGGGAGGAAGTCTCGTGGACTGCGTCCACATGAATATCGTATAAAAGCCAAACGACTGCAGTACAATGAGATTCATCTGTCCTCATCTTGTGAGATCGACCAATGAATCTCTTTTTCATTTACTTTCATACGAAATGAAATAAAAATAGCTATATATATATATAAATTTATTTATTTATTTATTTATTTATACAATTGTAAAATGATTTAGTTAATTACTTTCATGCTTGTCCAAGGCGTCTATGTTTGAAAGTGTTCGGATTTTTATCTGGGTGAGAGTTCCGACCTACATAACCAAAGTCATAAATCTAAGTCAAAATAACGTAGCATTTAATGATACGAGGAAAAGCATATTTGAATATGCGTAATCCTGAATCTATGTGTAGTTATCTCAGAAGATTTAACAAAAACCAGCAACGCGTATATTTAAGGCATGCTACAATATTTTGGCCTGTTCATCGTAGAGTCGAGCAAATGGAGGCTCTTTTATGAGTGCGGTTGTAGGCTATGTTTTGTCGAGTTTCCAAAACAACTTCTTAATTGAATTTGGGCGATATATATATATATATATACATAACAAGAAGACGGCCTAATGAGCTGGAAGTATATGTAAATTTTAAACTAACCCAACAGTGATCAAGTAATAAATGTTTCTTCAGTAGTTTCAGAGACTGCTTCAACCATATAAAACATAAAATAGACCGACGCAAGGTAGGAAATCTATTTGATGTTTTTAAAACTTCCTTGAAATTATATGCATCCCCTTAGAGCTGTCAGGAGTTAGTGGACGCAATTAGTAATTAGACATGTCAGTTGTCTTGAGTTCGAATCCCGCCCGGGGTGATACGGATCCTGTGTGAGGTTAACGCTATAGTCCACACTCAAGGACCCAGCTATTAAAGATACAAAGCATCGCTTTACTGTGGGCAGATCAAATTTCAGCTTTAATAATACACAATTGCTAGTTATGTGACCTCAATTTGACAAGACATTTTGACAGTTTTGGCGTCAACTCATGAGCCTACTGTTAGTGACACAGCAAGGCTGCCTTCACGGCTTCGGGCTAATACTTTTCTAGGCAGGAGGAAAACGGTTATGTTCAAGCACAGACTGGCCAAGGGAACAAGTGTGGGCAGACCCGGGAGGGCTCGGACTGCTCCACTGATGTGTGACTATAGCTGTGAGCTCCTGCCCTTTGAAGGGGAACGCGACTTCATTGCTCCTCCCTTAGATGCCTTGACTCTTTTGACTGGACAGCCCTTCAGTCAAAAGCCTCCTCAGACCTGGCAGCACTACTCATCCGCCCCAGACTGTATACCGGATTTCCGTTGGCTGCTGTCGCTGCCGCTTTCTGTGCCTCATCAGACAAACCGCGACTACCTCAACCTTCT